AAAAAAAAAAAAAAGAGCCATTCATTGAGCTTTTGGGAGTTATAATTACAGCAGACTGAAAAGTAAACTCAGCTCAGATGAAATGAGAAGCAATATGTGCATTCACAGAGCCAGAGAACTCTGGGATGAGGTTCAAACTCACATTGATAAAGCTGACATTGAGCTCCTTTGCTGTGTAACCCCTCTGTAGGTTCCGTCTTGCATACACATCATAGTCCCGGACAATTCGGGTGATGATGTCTGATGTGGAGATACCTTCTGTCCTCTGTGTTGGAGCAAACATGCCTAACTCAAGAACACATACAGACAAACACTGTGAAGTTCTGATTAGCTCAGATAGTAAGACTAGATGGAAACTGGGTGCAATATTCCTTTCCCTTCCTCAAAAAGCATAATCTCTTATTACCAAGTGAATTTTATTTATTTTTTTCTTTTTTTTTTGAGACAGAGTCTCACTTTGTCACCCTTGGTAAACTGCCATGGCATCATAGCTCACAGCAACCTCAAACTCTTGGGCTTAAGCGTTTCTCTTGCCACAGCCTCCTGAGTAGCTGAGACTACCAGGTACCCACCACAACACCTGGCTCTATTTTTTTTTTTAAGAGATGGTGTCTCACCCTTGCTCAGGTGGTCTCGAACGCCTAAGCTCAGGCAGTCCACCTACCTCACCCTCCCACATCCCAATTATGCGTAAACTTCACTGCACCTGGCTCAAGTGAAGTTTAGAGATGCAGACATATGGAAGGAGAACTAAATCACAGACTAGGAGTAAGAAAAGAGGAGCTACATGACCCTAATATTAAGAAAATTATAGGACTAGGGAAGGGAAATTAAGAGAAATCAAATTTAGATCAGGCATGATGGCTCAGGCCCATAATCCCAGCACTCCGGGAGGCTGAGGAAGGTAGATCCCTTGAACGGAGTTTAAGACCAGCCTGAGCAAGAGAAAGACCCTGTCTCTACTAAAAATATAAAAGCTAGCCAGGTGTTGTGGTGGATGCTACTCAGGAGGCTGAGGCAAGGGGATTGCTTGAGTCCAGGAGTTTGAAATTGCTATGAGCTATAATGCCATGGCATTCTACCCATGGTGATAATGAGACTCTGTCTCAAAAAATAAACAAAGAAAAGTAGATGTGTAGACCAAGAATCAATGGATAGCAATGCTATGCTTACCTTTACCTTTTATCAAAAGTGTGACCTGTAAGAGGATGCTGAATTTCTCAATGTTCACATTTTCCTCTGTAAATGAGTAATACAGCTGAATCTCTCTAGCTGCCCTAAGACTCCATGAAGAGAGGATGCAGTTCAGCTTACTCACCTGCTTCTTTGATGTGCTTATAAACATCATCACTCCCAGCAGAAGAATAAGGGATATCATCATGGGCTACAAAATCAATCTGAAAATAAGGAAATATTGCTTAAAACCTAGAATAACTGCCTTTCAGAAAGACTCAGTAAATACTTTTAGGCCCAGAAAAAGGCCAATAATCAGAAGCCAGGCCTCAAATGGGTCTTTTTGCTAAAGCTTTGTTTGCATTGCTCATGTATTTCTCAATCCAATCACTAGCCACCCAACCGAATTATTTATGGATTATAAATACAAAATAAGCCAGTTGCTTTTCCATCTACTTCTCCTGGTTTACTGAAACTGGTACCCTCACTATACCAGTCACCACATGTGGTCAACAGGGCCAGAGGATTTGCCGGTAAGCAAGTTAGTGGGCAGAGCCTAGGAAAGAAAGAAATCTCTCTATTCTCTTGGGTCTATAAGGACTGGTCAAATAAGAGTTTCTAAAAGTATGAGAAAGAGATCATTCCCTTGTTAATTGGTTTCTCTCTCAGTCCATGAGAAAAGGAGGAATATAAAAATAACCAGGAGCTCTTTTACTGAACTAGATACATCTGTACTCCTAAAAAATGCAAAACCCAAAGCCATAAAAGACCTTTAGATCCCAGGATCTATCATTTTACTACCGCCAATATCCTTTGCTACAGTAAGAAGAGTTCAATGGCACTGGATCAATAATCTTTTTTCTTTTTAATGTAGCCTCACCAAAGCAAGGCCTTAAGAAATTATTTTATGGGGCGGCACCTGTGGCTCAAAGGAATAGGGTGCCAGCCCCATGTGCCAGAGGTGGTGGGTTCAAACCCAGCCCTGGCCAAAAACTGCAAAAAAAAATTATTTTATGACCTTCAACGAATCCCCAACAATTAAAAAAAAAATTAGTCTATGATTCACAATTGTTCCTCTCCACAGAAATATTTTTTTCTTTTTTATTTTTTTTGAGACAAAGTTTCACTTTGTTACCCTCGGTAGAGTGCTGTGCTGTCACAGCTCACAGCAACTTTCAACTCTTGGGCTTAAGCAATTCTCTTGCCTCAGCCTCCCAAAGTAGCTGGGACTACAGGTGCCCGCCACAACACCCTGCTATTTTTTTGTTGCAGTTGTTATTGTTGTTTAGTTGGCCCAGGCCAGGTTCGAACCTGCCACCCTCAGTGCATCTGTAACCACTGTGGTATGGGTGCTGAGCCTCAATTGCTAATATTGAATGTATTAGTACATGTATCATTCAATATTAGTATTAGTATTCTCAGAAGTAGACTGGGGTTTCATTTTCTTACATGTACTGTCCTTCCTTGTTTTGTTTTGTTTTTGAGACAGAGTCTCACTTTGTCATCCTCAGTAGAGTGCCATGTTATC